TGTGCTTTTGGCCATTGGAGAGGGAAGGACAGCAGGATGCTCCAGTAGGGTTGGCCTCTGATAGGGTTGCTCTCCAGGAGAGTTAGCCTGTGTCTACTCAAAACTGCCCTGAGGTTGGCGAGTGCTAAGTAAGGGCTGTTGAGACATAACCTTCACTGACAGCATAAATGGACTGAGAAGCACCATCGAGGGACACAGGGGGATGAGAGGAGGAATTTGGGAAGTGGGGTCAACACTCAGCTTGGGGCTCAGGTAGACTTTGTGGTGAGTGCAGACCTGGAGGACTTTGGTACATTTAGCTACCGTGGTAGCTACCATCTGTACATGCAGCTGTAATATTAATAGACAAAAATAATGCAACAAATGTCCAGAAATGGCATAGTCAAGGTACCGCTTCATCCAGTTTTGCTAAGCGTAGGCCTATGGCTGGACACCCTCTAAATAAAAAGTCATTTTGTATTTGTTGGAACTGCTAAGATACACTTCCCCCTCCTTTTTTCTTTTGTTTTTGCAGTCATGAACTTTAGAAGCCTATTTTAATGTGCTTTCCTAGGAAAATAAAGATTAAACTGTCACCTTGCTGGTTTATCTCTTTTTTATGGTTCCCTTTCTCTATCCTGCTCACTCAGCCACATATAATAAACTTCTCACAGTGTTACAAGTTTTGTTCTTTAAGTAGACTCAGGAGGAGTGGAAGGTGCAAGTTCACCATTCCTGGATCTCAGAGGATCCACAGGAAACTGGGATTCTTTATTTCTGCTGCTCGCAGAAGTCTGCATGCATTTTTTGCCAAATTTCTTGATTCTGGCAGATAATTCTTAAGGTGGAGGAAGGGTTACAGGTAAATGTAACAGTATGGGAGACAGCAATTCAGTTTTCCATTTTCTGGACAATAACATATAGATGTGACCTTTGGCAATGGAAGGAAAAGGTCTAGAGAAGAACAAAGGAGGAGGAGTTAATATAGTTTCCTCAGAGGCCTGCAAACTCCAGAATATAAATAATTTAGACCACAGTTTTTAAATAGACAGAATGAGACCATGCTGCTACACTCCATAATCTGATCTTCCAAGTTTCTGTTAATCATCCTAGCAAATAGTATGCAGATTCTGGTTTTAGCTTCTTGCAGGGCTTCCAAGCACTTGTCAAATCAGATCAATGCATGCATTAAAAGACATCCCTTATAGAAACTCATTTCTGAGAGGCAGTTCCTGCAAAGTGAGTGCTGCTTTTGCATGAGGCTTGGTTTGCCTGTGGCTGAGCTGAGGATACTGAAAAAATAACTCGGTTATAGTTAACTTGTTAGAGTAAGCCAAAAATTAAGATGTCAAACTTTAAAAAGCACTGAATAACAAGTTAACTACTGACACTTTCCTTTTTAAACACCAGCCAGCATGTTTGTGATCGCTCCTTTTCTTGTCATCTGTAAGTAATGGCATAGATTGTCCATAGGCTGTGACTCCTTGCTCTCTTTTTATCCTCTTCTGGCCTAGCTGTACACATTGGCGTGAGATTTCTTACCAAGACAGCTGCGCTGAAAAAAGCATCAGTTTGGCAGCACCTATACTGCATTTTTACCAGGATGATTTGTTTTGTTTCTCAGAGGTTCCTATCAGAGCAAGGTGCAGGTTTAGCTGTACAGCTGCATCAGATGCAGAAGTACTTATCTGATGTTATATAATAGCCAGTTGTAGCAATACTCGTCCTCCCGCTAAAGGTCTGCACTTAGCCCTATTCAGGAGACTAGACTCTGAACTCTAGGCTGAATTTTCTACAAACAGCCACCTTCAAGGGTGTTTCCAATTGGCCTGTTCTTAACATATAGTGTACAAGTAATGGTCCCATGTATAGGGCTGTAATGATTTTTTGTGCTACTGTGGCTTATTCCTCTTGCTGTTCAGGAATGGTTATATTAGTGAAAAATCAGAATATATTAATACCATATACATTATCCGAAGTGTGATAGCTAGTACTGATAGTAGGGAAGGATGTGCTGTTTAAGCTAGTGTCAATGTCTGATCTTAAGGGCTGGTTAGGTCAATGAATATGCGACAGCCCATGGCCTGTCCTGCCTCATTTCAGTTCTTTTTTTTCTGTGTGTATTTCCAGTTCCCTCTTTTTCTCCTCTTGATTTGTTTCTTGTTACTGTATCTTGCTGACTTGTTCCTGCTGGGCTTTTGGTTTCCCTTACAGACTCTGTAAGGCTGGTCTCTAGTGACCTGTTGAATATCTCAAGGCAGCCCAAGAGCACAGCTAGGGAACAGTGAGATGTTTTGCCACATGAAGTTGAGTCTAGATTTCTAAATAGTAAACTTTTCAACATTAAGTTGCAACACACTGCTAGCACAAAACAGGAAGCTGTGTGACCCAAGCTTACATGGGGAAAGGGATTTCTGAGAGGCTCCTGTCATATATTCGAGATGCTTCTTTATTGAAGGCTTGGGATGATGGTGTGTCAATGACTTAACTTGAGCAAGATTGGGAAATTATGTTTTGGCTCACTCATGGAGTTAATTAACATAGCTGCACTGTGACAGATAAACAAGTCATCTCTCGTTTCTCTACCAATGGATGTATTGTCCTTTTTTTTCCATTTCTTTCCCCTTCTCCTTGCCACACTGCTCCCATTCAAATTTCTGTAGTGTTTTGCTCTAAAGACTGTCCTGAAGTGCATGAGGAAGCTAATGCCATGAAAGCAGCATCTGGAACAGTCCTTTCTCTTGAGATAAAAAAAAAGAGTTTCTAAAATAGGATGCAAGCTGTGATCTATATGGATGCACTTAGCAGGGCAAGGTACTGTAGCATTGGAGCTACAGTATGGCTGTTACAGGTCCCTTCCCTTCCCTTCCCTTCCCTTCTTTTCCCTTCTCCTCTATGATAGTACTGAACTATGGGTAGATATAAACTGCAGTTTGAGGTTGGTCTAATCTCTAATGCTCATACATTTTATGGGGAAGTTTTTTGTGCATTCCTTTTTCTCTGTTGTCCAAAGAACAAAATAAAAAACAATTTAGCATACCAGGAGTAAGTGGCTTATCTAAGTTTTGTTATATTGGATACTTTCTGCAAATAGTGGCAAAACAGCCCAGAGTGCTACAAGTGAAATAATGATTTTTAAGTTAGAAGTTTAAATACGTGAAACTTTAGCAAAATGAAGTTAAAATCCTGTATTAAAAATAGTATTGAACATCAGGTGACAAATCACTTGAGATTTGTTTCCTCTTCAATTACTTGCTGGGACATTAGCATTTTTTGACTAATCAGTCACTTCAAATTTTTTGTATTAAACTCCTTTAAGTGTGTCACTCCTAACAACACCTGTATCCAAAAGACATATATTGTCCTTTATATTTGAGTGGTGAAATAAGATACACTTGGAATGAGATGTCTTTTCCAAATTTCTAATTCTTTCTGATATCCAAACACTTTTCCAAAGTGTTTAGAAGCGTAGGGCCAGATTTTTGGTAAAGGTAAATCAGTATACTGCAGTGGATTTGGGTGGGACTGGGATGGTTTACACCAACTGAAGACTTGGCACTTCAGGCATACATATATGACTTATTTCATCCTCATAGTTAACACTAAAGAAATAATAGTTTTTAGGGTGAGTAACAGAAAGAAGGATTGAAACCCTGCAACTTCTGCTGTTTTCTGGGTCTGAATGAAGCAACTAATAGCTTCATAGCTCTGCACAGGAATTCTTTCCAAAGGATAAGCAATCAGAAATTAAACTGCAGCCTGGTAATCTTCCTGACTCTTAAGTCTTTCTGCCAAGTGCCTGTAAAGAAGCAGGATACCCCAGTCACTTTGCACACCTTTCCTCTCCATTGAGTATCTGGAGACCCTTGCAGAATACAGCTGCAATAGAAAGTTGCCTTCTGCAGAGCAGCTGCTCTGTTAGGTTGCACAAAATGCTGAATTGGTGGGTACAGCTTGCTCTTATCCCAAGGGCAGGAGTTAAAAATGCACAGGGGTGCAATATGCTCTAGGGGTCCCTGCTTGAGCAGGGAGGTTGGACTAGATGATCTCCAGAGGTCCCTTCCAACCTCAACCATTCTGTGATTCTGTGATTCTGTGATTCTGTGATTCTGTGCCCTGTTCCCACTGACTTTTTTTTAGAGTGGTTATAGGTGCGTGTGCGTGTGTGTGTGTGTGTGTGCGCGTGTGCACGTGTGTGCGTGCATGTGCTTTTGTTTGACTCCCAAATGTGAGTCTCCATGTTTAGGATTTAAAAATCCTGTTGGAAACATATCAGAAATAGTGCTGTATTCGGAGCAGCAAATAGCCAAATCATATTCCAGACAGGAAGGAATTAACTTCAGTTTGTTTCTTCCGCAGTCTGAGTGTGTGTGTGTGTGTCTGTGTGTGTGTGTCTCTGTGTGTGTGTGTGTGTGTTTGTGTATGAATTTGATACTTGTTTGAGAGAGGGCAGTGGGAAAGGAAACCTCCTATTTTAACTTTTCAGAGAGACCCCAGTGACAGGTTCTGGATATGTGCATAGTTTTGTTTGACTTTGCACACGTGGGGTATTGAACGGAGATGTTCGAGGCAGCCTGCTGGTAGCGTTCAGGGCTGGCCGCTCAGAGACACATGTCCTTGGAAACGGAGGCCAGGAGGGAAGTGAGTCTAATGCAAAGTGTTAGAGTAAGAGTAGTTTCATGCTAAGTGGGACTGTGACTTGCTATGCTATGCTGCACTGGGAAGCAGGAAGATGGCAATGTGTGTTTGCGTATTGTGGGACTGATATGTCTAGGTGGACAAGGACAAGTTCCAATAGGTCTGTACCATCTCTTGTGTGCACTCAAACATGCAAGATACCTGAGTCCAGTCCCCTTAAGTGAAGGAATATTTGAGAACACTAGAATATATACATTTTTCAATATTTATATACATGTAAATATATATATGTGTGTGTGTGTGTGTGTGTGTGTGTACCTCTTTTCCTAGTGTTTGGGCTAGTTCTTGTTTACTTTCCTACCTGGAGCACTCAGGGCCCAGATTTTTCAAAGGTTTCTCTGAAAGTAGAATTCTTATTTATTGAGATGCTTGTTTTGGGGTGTCATTTGGGCTCAGTATAGGCTATTCCTTTGCAGTACTTTGACAAATCACCTTTTATTTTTTTTCCCATCCAGAGAATGAGTATTATTGCTATGATCTTTCCTGTTTTTCTGCATGGCAGCCTGGTGATTGAATACACCTCGAATTTCCTCATCTTTCCTATCTAAGCCACCTGTACATTTCTATTTCTCCAGAAAAATCTGCCATCAGTGATTGCAAGTAACTTCACTTGTTTGCTAAATCAAACTGCTTCTTGTCTTTAAAGCATGTACATGTCAAGGGTTCTGAGCAAATGTTACCTGTTGGAAAGTACCTTATACTCTTGCACTAAGACAAAACAATGATGTGCATAAAGCACTTGAATATTGAAAGAATTTCACTCAGGACTCAAATGCAATTAAGAGCAATGTGGTGTAGCTTCTCATTCCTATTCTTTTATTGCCTGGATTTCTCTTTGAGGTATTGCTGTGTAACCAAATTTCCTTTCTAGAAAACAGTACTTCTCTGGCTCCCAAGTACTGCAAGATTTACAGCAGTGAGGTGTTCAGTGAAAGGTTCTGTAGAAATGTCAAGTACTGGTGGGTATTCATGAAAAACTGCCTGCTCCCTAAGTCGTTAAAATGGAGAATATGTTCTTGCAGGGACCATGATGTCTTCACCAAATGATGCCAATATGGAAGAAATACCTTTGGAAGATGATGAGCGAGACAGCATAGAATACAAGATCCTAATGGCCTATGCCCAGCGGCGGTTGTCTGTCAGTGAATATGGGAAACTTATGAAAAAGGAAGCTAATGTGCAGAAACCCTCATCCTTAAATGGGAGAGCAGTGAAGTTTGAATATCAAAGCCCAAATGAAGCTGGGCCAAGCCAAACAGAGGTTTCGCAGGGCGCCATGTTGGAATGCCTAAGCCAAATGCAAACAAGACGAAAATATCTCTCAAAATATTGTCTACCCTCTTCCTTCAGTAGAGAAAAACATGAAAAAATCCCAAAGCCTTCATTTCTTCAGAAGCCATTTTTGGCCCAAAGTTCCACAAGGCATTTCTATCTTCCTGTGGTACAGTATCAAGGCCCTTCAAAAGTGAAACGTGAGCATCTGATGGGTATTTCTTAGTTCTTTCCTTTTGCTGTTATTTGTTAGTCTTTAAATCTCTCTCTAAATAGCCTAAATACCTAGTAGCCTGTGGAAAGGCAGGAAGAGCAAGTTGGTTTTTTCACTGCTTTGTCATCTTTTATGCTAGTTCTTTTGAGTTCTAATTAGGAAGTCAGATTGCCAGATCTTCACTAGTGCTTGCACAAATGAGACTTATGCTTGTGACTGTTTTTTTTTTGTTTGTTTGTTTATTTGCTTTCCATCATATGGTGTCAAATAACATGTAATTGTACAGGTTGTTTTTTCCAAGCATTGATGACTTCTTTTGCATACCTGGCTAGAAATAAAATGTAAAACACTGCTCAGACTGAAGATTTCCACGCTAAAATCAGGGAAGAAAAGTTGTATGAAGGCCTGTTTAAGAGCTTTATCATGGGATACATATTCCACACTACAGACCAAATTGCTAGACTCAGCTTTAAACTCTGTGATGCCATGCAGTTGGCAGCAACTAGACCTAAGCACAGAGAAGCCCTATGCCTCTCATAATCCCCACTGTTGTTAGAGCTCAAATGGGAACAGTCTTCCAGAGTTATTTTAATCTCCTCCACACATTGCTACCACTGCCACAGGATTCCTCTCAAGTACAGTCCCTGACTGAGGAGAGGAGGTAAAAGCAGCCATCTCTGGTCTGAGGCTGGCTGAGAAGGGAACAGATCTTGGCTTTGAGAAAGCTGAGGAGGGACTTTCCCGTAGTAGGTCTGAACCTGCCCTCCCATATACTGGAGGAAGCGGTGGTGGGTGGCAGTTATTAATTTAAATTTAGGGATCCTGTCGATGTAAATGACAGCCCCCACTGCCAAGTTGTGCAAGAGGTGCTACACTATGGACAAGGAGATTTAATCTTTTCTGCTCTGGAAAATAAATCATGCCTTAACTTCTCATAAAAGATTGAGAGAAGATAGTGCGATATCCCCATTAAATAGCCATATTCAGTATATGGTGTGATACTGTGTTTTCCTATAAATAAGGGAGTTTTGTTTGTTTGATTTGTTCCAGTTTGATACTACCGGCTCAGTGACCTGCTGATGGCAATGGCTAATCTTTCCTTTTGCCATACTTGAAGACATTGCTAAAAATTATCCATCACTCACGTCTCCAGCCTAATGCCCAACCCCAATCAGTTTAACTGTCCTGGACCAGCCCCTGCTCACTAAGCCCCTGATTCTCCCTGCTGTCAAATCCACTTATATCCCCTAAGAGATGTTCTCTGCCTCAGCCTGGTTCATTTTGCTGCAGGGAAATGACCAAGACTTGCCATGGTTTGGTTGCTAAGGTCATATGTCTGCATCCAAATGTCACATTCTATGATGTCTGTTTTTATTTACATTTTCTTTTTACATTTTATTTCCATTTTATTTTTACATTATCAAAAAAAGCTCCCAGGAGTTTCGGGGTCAACCCCTTAATGGTCCCTCCAGCGTACCATCATTTTCCCTGCAGGTGGCAGCATGGCATCAAGCTAAAACCTCACCGTGCCCAGCTTAACTTCCCCGGAGCTGGTGTTTGACTTCAAATCCATGCTTTACCTGACCTTCAGCAGATTGCTGGACCATATCCTAAAACTTTATTATTTGTAACATATAGTGCTAGCAGCTGCAAAGCAAGCTTGGCCAGGCTATTCTGCAAAAAATGGGGATGCTTTTTGGGATTACTTGTTTAAGTAGCAGGCCTGTTCTGTCTAAAACCAGTTGCGTAATCTTATGTTTCCAAAGCCATAATCATACACTGTCACAAATGGCCTAATCCCCTTCCTAGAAGTCCAGCAGCTTCCAGACAAGCTCTGCATGCAGTCGGAGGGAAGGAAATGTCTTGGGGTTGATTCACCAACCTTGAAATGCAGTTTTTATTGACTGCATTAACCCTGCTGCCCTCACAGTAAACTCTGCTTGTGAATTTTACACATGTGTTATGGGTCAGGCTGCTGCTGAGCTTGTCTCGCTGTCTGCCGATCACACAGGAGCTGCCACTTGTTGGTGGCGATGGGGAGATCAAGTTTCACATCCCAGCCTCAGGGAGGCTAATTGCAAGAAAGAGTAACTCTCAGCTGAAATAAACCTTGCTATAGCTCTTCCCTATAGCTCTGTACTATAGCAGGAGCCCCTTTAGGTTCTCCTAGCTGAGTGAGGCCTTCAGCTTGTGAGGGTCATTGAACAGCATCATTATACAAGGTGGATAAAGCCAATCTGGCTGCAGAGTGATGAGTGCTCCCAATATTCACTTCTATTTAATGCAACAGTGTCAAGTGCAGGAGCAGCTTTTGTGGCAGAGGTGCCTCTGAAGTGAAGCCTGCTTCTCCTGTGCTCAGGATCAGCTGGTGGGAACAAGGAGAGAGCATTGAAATGCAACATCTTTCCTAAATCTGTGCCTACAGGTGAACTAGCCATGGGCTACTCACAAACCACTAGCAGTAGCGTCTAAGATTCACTGTCCTATAGAGCTATTCTCTTTAGTTTCTTAATCTAGGATGTGCAAGAATGTATGCTAGTGAGCAACGCCTGTACTTGCTTCTGTGTGGCCTCTATATGGTTAACTGCTACTCAAAAACTAGACAGGGGTTGCAACGTATTTTCTGTCTCTCTAAATTGCTACCACCCGATCTTAGGCAACAGCAGAGCCCATGTATCTCTTGATATGCTCTGGGCACTGCCACCTCAGAGGGCATGTAAAGGAGTAAAGCTTTTGAGTTATTTCCTGGAAAGATTAATTGCCTTCTTTATTTCCCAACCCCCTTCCCAATCAGATGAGACGGCAAATGTCGACCACATTGCAGACAGGCTGGCTAAGCTTGTTACTTCCAGACCTCAGCCATCCCCTTCTGATGTGTCATTCAAGATGCTGCCATGTGGCCCGGATCTGAAACTACAGGGCAGAGGTGCTACTGGTGGAAGTGAGAGTGAAGAAAATGGTAAGGGTGAAGAATTTCAAGCTCATAGGAAGTTTGTCAGGTTGGTACTGCACACTGAGGCATTTTCCTCTAGAAATGGTGAAGCAGTCATGCCTTCTAGGGTAAGACACTGTGAAGAAACAAGTTTGGTCTGCTGTGCCTTGCTCTTGTCACCCACGTTTCAGGGGCAGCTCTGGCTGCGTAAGACCTTGTCTGCTACTGCAATAAAAAGAACATCCTTAAAAATCCAAGGAGATGTGTGACATGAGACCAAGAGAGTGGAGGTAAAGTGACATAAGGTCATAGAGCAGCAAAGCTGGGAATAGAATGAGCTGTTCACTGAACACTGAGCTTCTAAGGCCAAAGACCTGTTCCTTGGGAAATAATGTCTTAGTTAAAGGCCAGTCCCTCTCTGGTGAGGTGACAACATTGGTCAACAACCTCTGTTAAAAATCTGAACTGCTTGTCTTCTATAATGTCTGCAGAGATTTAGTTTTCCTGCTACCTTTTAGGAATTTCTGATTACAGTCTGACAAACCTGGAGTTCATTCTAGTGAATTACAGAAGGTATAGCTGGTAATGATGGGAAGATGTTTCTTCCTAATTTTAAGTTTGTTTTTCTTGGGCTTCTGCTAGCTGCTTTTTCACACATCTATCTTGTTCTCAGTCATGC